GACAAAACAAAGTTGTTGACGAGTATGTTTACCTGGGACAAATAGTCCGACTAGGTAAGTCCAACTTCGACCTCAATCGACGGATTCAACTCGGCTGGGCAGCGTTCGGGAAACTACGACACATCTCGTCAGACATACCTCAAAACGAAATTGTACAACCAGTGCGTGTTGCCAGTGATGACTTACGGATCTGAGACGTGGTCCTTCACTGCTGGCCGTATGAAGAAGCTCAAGGTCGCTCAGCCAGCTATGGAGAGGGCTATGCTCGGGGTTTCTCTGCGTGATAAACTTAGAAATGAGTATATCCGCAGTAGAACCAGAGTAACCGACATAGTCCAACGGATTAGTAAGCTGAAGTGGCAGCGGACCGGCCATATAGCTCGAAGAACCGACAACCGATGGGGAAGAAAGGTTCTTGAGTGGCAGCCTCGTACCGGTGGGCGAAGTGCAGGGCGACCCCCCACGAGATGGATTGACGACCTGGTAAGACATGCAGGAAGTCGATGGATGCAGGTGGCTCAGTACCGTGCTTTGTTGCATTCCTTGGGGGAGGCCTATGTTCAGCAGTGGACTTATGAAAGGCTGTAATGATGAATGATGATGAAAGTTATTAGCATTTTTATAAGAATTCACTTCCGTCCGAATCTCCGGATGGATAGCCTTTGGTCCCATTTCGCTGAACAGATGTTAATAACCTCCTAAAGCCTATATTTTTCTTCTCCTTTTATAAATTCATTTTTAAGTTCTCTGGAAAAAATAGTCATGAAGCAATAAAACAGCATTTTGTTTGCCCCCAATAATTGTTTATTTTATTACATTAATCTTTCCGTGGTGAACAATAAATACTATTGTATTGTATAACATCTTGAAAGCTCGGCTATCGCTAAAAACGTAGTTTTGAGTGGATCGTCTCTGTGGGGAACGCGCGGTGTTAATTTTGCGAAGATATTAATCACTTGTGAAAACTAAAATATTATTGAAAAAAGCTTGGAATAACAACTTTTTTAATCTAGATAAAATGGATAAAACGATGATAGCTCAACGATAACTGTTCGTTAACGTTCAAGGATAACATTGTTACATAAATGACTCTTATGAGTATTTTTAAAGCCTTCTGTTTTAAAAAAAGAAAGTTAATCTTAATGGATAGATGCAAACAGAGCTACGCCGGTCACCGGCAGACCGAGTGGAGTCGGATCAGCCATACGCTAGCGTTCCGTTCCCCTCTATCAAAGCACGAGTCCACTCGGTCCTACGCGTACAATAAAACTAGTTGCAGCCGCCCGCACTGCTCACTGGACCAAATCTAGTTGCGCGGCTGGAGCGATGTCCTACAAAAATGCCGAATTGTTCAGCAAACTGTTTGCTTCAAAAAGTGATCTGTCACGTCAAATTTACAAAAAGATGGAATTGGATTGGATTGGATTACAAAAAGATCATTCAGAATCCAGATATAAGTAATTTTAATCACACTATTGCTATTTATTTCTATTTTTGTGTGTGAAATTGTTAGTTTATTGTTGTAATTGTTGTGTATGTCTTGTTATATCCTGTATATTGCTGAAAATCAAATGAAACTCGTGTGTGTGTGTGCGTGATGATGTGATGCGGATTAAATGTCGACAGCGCCCTAGGCTAGCACCTCATCAGCGCCCCTCTAGGCCCCACAAAACATGACAAAAATGATCTTTGATGATTATCTTAAATGCAAATAACGCCACATTAATAGAATTCTATTATCATCATCATCATCATCATGATGATGATGATAATAGAACCTACACAGGCGAAACCGGGCTGGGTCGCTAGTTTATAATATGTATAGATGTAACTGAACATAAAATGCCAAACCAACCAGAATAACGAAACAAACAAAACATATGAATGTATTAGCTACGTGAAAATATATCAAATCTGTACTATAAGACTGCTTTTCCACCAGAGATGTGCGAGGATGCGTGGCGAGGGATGTTTGCCTCGCCCAGCGCAGCTCTAGTGAAAACGGCTTATCGGAGCGAGCTTTTTGAACATACAAAACAAGGGAAGAGTGCGTGTGATGGATGTGTTTCGAGGGGTGTGTGCTCGCACCGCTCATCTGCGCTCCGTTTCACAGCGTTATTACGCATCCTCGTATCGCTCAGCGGCCTAGCACATCTCTGGTGGAAACGCTCACACCGTTCCACAGCCCCGCTACGCATTCCGCACCACCCAGCTACCTCCCACATCTCTGATGGAAACGCAGCCTAATAAAACTCTAACACGACGTCTGTCTGAACACCCCTCACGCAAAAACCTGTGAACCGATTTGGATGGGACTTTCACTGGCAGATAGCTGATGTTATAAGGAGTAACTTAGGCTACTTTTATTTCAGGAAAAGAATTATAGTTCCGCGCAAAAAATTTAAAACCCATGAAATCGCAATAAAATCCACGCGGCGCGAAGTCGTGGGGAAACAGCTAGTACTAAACAATCGGTTTCTATTTGTTGCATGTACTAGATCTCATTTCAATATAGATGTACAAAAAAAGATCTCAATGATCAGAATAGGCACGACACGGCACGTGAATATTTGAATACAGTTTAAGTTATTTTTGTCCTCTTTGAGGGCAAATCAGATAACCTATTTTGCGTCAAGAAATTTTCAATAGCAAGCAACCCAGAATAAGGTAGTTGGCGGTCTTTCAAATACGCACCTTGGAATGCATGTAACGCCGTTGGAGTTGACTATGGGAGTGAATTAATAGAGTGTACATCTGTGTTTGCGGACACAGTCGTGCTATACTCATCATGCCCTGCGTAGATAATTAGTCTCCGAGGAGGCTGGCCGCCTTGATCAAAACACAGTCTGGGAGTACCTACCAATATGGTCATACACTACTTTACTTTTGAGATTATACCCGCATATAAAATTAGGATTACATAACAAAATATTATGTTACTGCAATTATTTACCAATATTACCTAAATATTAATAACACAAAAATTAGGTAATACTGAATTCAATAAATTGTTAAACTTACTCATATCTCACAAATACCTAAAAAATTTGGCTTGTCGTAATATTGAATAGCAAATTTTATAGTAATACGTGTTAATTATAAAATAATTAGTTGATAACTTGGCTTCACGTAGATTAGAAATTAGAAATCTGATGAAAAACACCTAGACCTTCTTCTTTTATAGATTATAGCCTGAGAAATTTATCTGCCATGTTGCTGTAGCGTATAGACAAGGAATAGGTCTAGGTACCTAGTCCTTGTCTACACGCTATTATGGCTATTTCCAGAAAAACTCATTCAAAGGGATTATATGAACTTAGAGGGTTGTATTGGTGATTTTAATGATAATAATTCTGTAAACACATACTCGTTACGGTCGCGAATCATATTTTGTTAAACATAGAACCTGACCCTGACCTGAAAATTGCAAAAACCGTAAGAAAATTTGAATTTCGTGGGCCACCCTGGCGCTTTCACCTTAACTAGATAACAAAAACAGTCCGTGAACTTACTACCACACTGATAGACAACCAACACACTCAACTGAAGAGAGTGTCTCTACTTCATGTTTGTGTACGCAGTATCAAAGTGTTGTGTGTGTGTGTGTGTGTGTGTTGTGTGTCTTTGATATGATAAATTAAGCTGTATTTAAAACGTACAAAGTAAATTGTTAGCGCAGTTCCAAATATGACAAAACGTTAACAATATATATTTAAATATAAATTTTAAGAGCTTTATGTGATCCAGCTTAAGACTGATGGAATCATCAGCAGCTATTATGAAAATAAAAATCTAAACAATACACAGACAGACAGACATAAATTCTACAAATCGCTAATTTGGCTTCAGCATTCTTCATTTAACCTGCATGACTAATTTTATCCAGAAATTAAATCCGACAAGATTTTTCTATAGATTTATTATTTTTTATATATTTTTTTGATATACATATTTTTATATACAGTTTACCTGATAATAAGTAAATGCTGTGATCCATGAACAATAATGATACATATGTCCTCGATAAGGAGAAAAAATGCAGATTTTATCTATATTTTGACTCCGTCACCCCTGAGGACTAAGATAGAATACTACTGAGTTTCGTCACTCATCATATGAAACAGCTGCATTATATGCTATTTCACATTGGTATTCAGTGAGGGCGTGGTCATTCTCCGGTCGATTATTGTTGCTCGAAAGATAAATGTATAAAAATAAGGATAATTGTTTTGTGGTTTGATGTTGATAGTAATTGAAGAAATACAGTATACATGACTGTAACCGATACAATAAATAATTTCACTAAACAAATGATGGAAATATCGACAAGTTGATAAAAACATCCATAGATTTAGACGCTGGGAACTTTGATTATTATGATTTATATTTCTGCTAGAATACTTTTATTCCTTTCCCTAGTAAGAATACAGTAATAGTAGTACACTGTATAATGTACGATTCAAAATAAAATTACATACTAAGAGCTGTCTCTTGAAGTTGATAACTAAATGCTTATTTTATATTATATATTGTCGATGTCGATTATGCTAAATGAGCGTCGGTGTAAATAGACGGCGCAAAAATACGTAGAATATTCTCAATAGAGAAATACATTAAAAATTTAAATGCCTACTTTTATGAAATGCTTAAAAATAATATTTGCCACACATACATTTTTGTACGTCAACTTATAACAAAATAGCTATTAACATTGCACACCTAAAACACCGAAACTTAATAAATTGGGAATAAAATAAAATAAAGCGTAACTCCCAGATAAAAAATATGATAGTAAGATTCGAGTAGTCAGTCAACAGGGTTTTAGAGCATTATTCTTAACAATGCATCATTTATTAGTAAAAAGTTAATTTTTCAGATAGACGACAATTAACAGTGTAAAAGTTTTGACGTTACCCTGTAAGGAACTTGAAAATATTAAGTTATAATATTGTAACTAGAAGAGGCTCACGAATTGACTAATAGTGATGTACTATATTGATTTAAATGAGAGTTATATGAACAAGGAGAGATGAAAGTTCTAATTCTTCTGAATAGCCGTTAGTGAGAGTAACGCTGCGATATCCTGTGCGAAGACACTTTAAAGGGTATGTTGCCTGGCCAATGAAGTTCGGATCGCCGAAAATGTCTTCGTCCTGGACCACGAACCGAATAAGAGCAAGGTCCGGATTCGCTATCTCGAACTCGCAGATGTCGTTCCATATTGGATTTATGCCATTGTCAGCTGTAACAAATAATTACGCTTAGAAATAACATAACAGAAAATGAATTACTTGAAAGTAGAATGCAAAAGCATACACATTTCATTTAATGTAATTGTATTTTTATAAATATTTCTTTTTAATTTCAGAAAATAAGAATGCAGTAGCAGAGCCTTCTAAAACATTTTTGATCCTACAATAATGGAATTTATCAATCTGATACAGATTGTGAAGCAATGTACTATGAAGAATAATTATACATTGTAACTTCAGGCTCATAAGGGCTAGAACCCAGAGCCGTAAAGCCACAAAAAATCAATCTGATACAAGATTGATGTGTTTTCGATTTATAATTGGTGGTCCTATCAATTTTTTCCGTGAGAAATTTTATTCCACAGGTTTGACAACACATCTGAGACTTTCAGTTGTTTGCAGGTGTCTATGGTTACAGGTTGCCATCAGTGGACTGCTACGTCCTTGTCACTCCAATGTTATTAAAATATTATTAGAATAGAATGGAATACAATAGAATCATTTTTGTTTAATATAGCTTACAAGAATACTTATTTAAAGCTACTTTTTACTTTTACCATTGGTTCGAAAAAAATCTCTGTCCTAGGAAGAACCAGCAAGAAACCCAGCGGGACTTTCTTTTAAATTAAATCAATTTACAGTATATCATTTTATACAATTGGTATGAAGACATCCATTAAATTGTAACAAAATATATCCCCATTAATACTTTGATTCATTAATCTTTATTTAAAAAAAATTCATGGAACTTAAGTGGTAACTTGCGGGAGGACAGTTTATTTAGACTGTTGCTCGGCCATCTAATCTAATGTATACTGTTTGTTTTAAATGCTTACTTCAGTAGTCGAGTTTCTTACCATTACCCATTTATATTACCCTAAAAATGTAATATATATTATATTGCGATCATATTCTTAAAAAATTACGTTATTATGGAGATTGGTTACATTTATAGTAATATTACTATTGTCGTATTCTTTACGCATTTGTTTAAGATTTTTTTTATATAGAATAAGGGGGACAAACGAGCACACAGTCCACCTGATGGTAAGTGGTTGCTGTGGCCCATAGACATCTACATTTATCCTCGATTACGAATCAAAATGCAGATGCCTTGTCACCCGTGAGGACTAAGATGGAATGCCTCGTTTCCAGTAAAAAGGGTCTCCGGTTCTGTACACTCACCATACGAAACACAGCAGCATTAAGCTGATATTTTACGCTGGTATTCTGTGAGAGCGTGGTCCTTCCCCGGTCGAGCCGACCCATTCGTGTTACAACTATACCAGAAATATAGCTATAGCATGGCTCTACTACGTATAAGATTTAGTAATAGTCCAAGATCCCAGAGCGACCAGGCGTCATTTATTTTCTGACGAACGAAATGTGTATGATTGAGAAATGTTAGTATGTACAATGATTTCATGCCTACCTGCTACCTTGTGCCTGTGAGCCATTTTCCAGGTATGTATCAGGTGATCAAGGTACATAAAAACAATACTCACCTCACGTTAATTCTCCCAGCCGATTTTTACGTAAATGTTAGATAATAATCGGTCATCAATACTCCCTGACACTATCGGCCGGCAGTATTACTTTACAGACACTTTAAAAATCTCAAAAAAAAATATTACTTTATTTCACTTAAATTCTGAAGCTCCATTTTTATATAAGTTAGCCAGACAACTATTTTAAAACGTTTTACAAGAAGGCAGACCGATCCAAGGGTTCAACCACCCCCTAGACCCAATTTTAATGCCTTTGTGGGACCATACCATACCAGCATAGTAGCGATGACCTCATTCAAAGGGGTTACTATTAATCATGTACTCTTTAGTAGTATAATAACTTAATATTTGAATTATTCATACATAAAATTGTAAATCGTCAACATTTAAATATTAAATTTTATAAAAAAATTGTAAATATACTCACTGACAGTCTTTGTAACCAGCTTAACTCCACTGTCGTAGTCAGCACCAATGATTTCTACTTCAACAAACGGACTAGCAGTCCCTCGACCGGATTTGCAAAGGTGTCTAGCCCCAACAACGCGGAGCATGACCGTCACCGGTTTCACTTTCTTCTCGATACTCCGCCTGTCCTGCGGGTTGTAGCCCTCTTCGAACATAAATTCTGGCTTCAGAATAAAACCACAGCCCCCGTTCTCTTTGAACTTCCCCATGTTTATCTGCATAGGCTTGTCTGGAGTCTGATAATTGAGGGCGACCATTTGAGAACCCGCATTCCAGAACGGCACTGGATTATAATTCGAGGAGTCGATTCGCTGACCTTTAGGGTAAATGCGGCTAAGTTGCACTGCGTGGTATTTGATAAAGAACGTCTGAGATGACTCTTGGCACATGAGTCGCTCTGCTTTGGTTTCGGGGAATGAAGACATTTCGTTAAAGATAAAACCTTTGTTTCTCAATCTGTCCTGATTGAAGGCAACAGATCGGCAATACACGATGAGATCGGACATTTCTTTGGCAATTCTCCAAGTGCGCTCCATTTTTCTATGTTGGAGTGACCTGGCACTCGCACTGTGTGCTGCTTCTTTTATCGCTGAGAGCCATTCCAGTGCTATTTCTCTGGTCGGCGCCGCCATATCGAACGGCGCACACATAGATGGGCTTTGTATGCGCACCAACCATCTGGCCGAGCCGCCTTCCTCCCCCACGACAAGTTCCACGACGGCACCCAAAACATCTACGACTCCTTTCTGAAGAGAGCCCAGGACTGCATTTTCGCTGTCTAGACAACTCTAAACAAAATAATAAAAAATTACTGATGTGACTGAAGAGATAAGCTGTTTACCAATAAAAGTAAAACACATAAATTATAACTACTTTTTATACAAGTAAGGATGAAAAAAGAGAACACAGTCAACCTCATGGTAAGTTAATGCTGTGACCCACAGACAAATACCCACTGACCACTGGATACTATATTGAACTTATAACAAATGCTTATTGACGCGGAAGAATAAAGGAGAGATAGATAATAGATATACTTACAGTTATATCAGGAATGTGTGGCGTCTCGATCTCCTGCACATAGTTGGCGGGAAACCAATGATGTCGTTTGCCGCCATAGTCGCCGCGCCACCAGCCCTCATCAGGCTTGTCCACGTTAGTGATGATTGCGTGTTTACAGAACGATAGTTCGTCATCTTGCCGTGCACGGTAGTCGTACAAAGCTTTAACTGTCACCTAGTATATTAAAAAAAAATAATGAAGAGTACTGCCAATTTAACTTTGCATTGTCCCACAAAGGGCAGTGTTCTTAATCATTACATAAAAATTATTAAAGTTTATTTGGTGGATAACTGCTATCTGATCTTTACAACTAATTACAATTAAACTATCTAAATTACAAAACAACTTGAATCATGAAATACTCAATATTGATTATTTATGGAAGCGAATAAATCATTACGTGAATGGCTACAAAGAATACTTCAAACAAAATAATAACTACTGCACTATAAAAAATATTTACTAATAAGAATCCTAGCAGAGTTATTTAAAGATATGTTTTTGCAAAGGTTGAATTGCGAGGATCTCCAAATGTGAGTAAATAAAAGTAAATACAACAGGCTATATACGTCGCTTTGTAACGGCTCTCCTCAACTTTTGAGAGAATTATGGAATAATTAGTCCGCCGCACTGCACCAGTACTCATTGGTGGACTTATTGTCTTCAGGACAAACAGATGTCTTCGTAATATTGTGTTACTTTTGTTACAATATGGTAAAAAAATTCCAATAGTAAAAATTGTGCGTAAACATACGAATGTCAGATTCAGACTCTGATAGTTCTAACTCAGAGAGGGTTATTTCAATGGCAACAATGGATCAGTAAACTGAAGTGGCAATGGGCCGGCCAAATAACTCGAAGAACCGACAATCGATGGAAATAATGGTTTCAGAATGGCAGTCCCATACAGGTACTATAAAAAAAAGGTAAGCGAAATGTAGGGCCGAATCTATACTAAACAAAATGACAAGTGATCTGGTAAGAAATGCAGAATTTCAATGGATGGAGGTGGCTCAAGGTCGTGCTTGTGGTATTCCTTGGTGGCCTATATTCATCAGTGGATTTGTGATGGTGTATGATGATGCTTTATAGTAATCCTAACAACATTAATTACTGTTAATTGGACTGGCTATCAATTAAACAGTCCCTAATTAATATTAATACACAAATTGTATGTCTTCAATAACGGATTTAAATAAAAGCAGTAAATGAATAAAGGAGGGGGGGGGGGGGGGGTAAATAATTGAAATAACTCAAAATTTGCAGTTTTAAAAATATTTGAATGTGTGTCATAGTAAATTGATATATTAGACCTAGTTGTAGCCAACAAGAACGTAGTTTATTCATTGTCTCGGTTTAAATTAGGAGATTTAGTCACGACAGGAGTCCCCGAGGCTCCGCAAAACTTGACATTTGTTGTAAAATTCCATACTTTATGTTTTAGTTTGCTTATTTTCCACGGCACTTCTATTAAAACAGACTCTAATTAAAACCTGAGACATCACATGAGACTACATAATTAAAAGTTACTTTTTATAATAGAAGATGAATATTACGGTAATGGTCGGATAGAAAAAAAATTAGTCCCGGTACCTGATCAATGCCCACTTTCTCTTCAAATTAAGTTCGTATTATACCTTAAGCTAAGTACGCACTATTTATTAAAATGCCCAAACACTTGTTTTACAACTCAAATGATTATTACACAGAATGTTTATTTAAACTATGGTGCGAATATTTTGTACTGCCACTGCAGAGCTAAGCTAAGCTTCTAGCAAATTTTACTATCACGTAAAATATAGTCACACTAAAAAAAGTTTATTACTGCATATATTATTTATAAACTGCTGAATCTGACCGCCAAAATAAGTATTTAAGACATTTGATTAATTAAATAATAGGGAATTGTATTTAAGACTTGGGTATTTGCGCAAGCTCATAACTAAGTTACTAGAAGCGCGTACTAGTCTACTTAGGCGCGTGTAATACATTTAATAAGTAAAAGAGCGTTATGCTAATGTAAAATTTAAATGGTAAATATAGAAACTATAAAAAGTATTAATAAAAACATATCGGGATATATATTTTAAACGATAACCAATGAAATCGAAACAATCTTTAAACATCCACGTGCTGATGCGGACTTAATTAACTCGCTATTACCTACTTTATCTCAATGAAACGGAATAATGCATTCGTCTAATTACAACTACTTTCCGTACTAAATAAATTTAACCTTATAATTTTCTTACTTTTGTTTTTATCCTTAATAAATCCGGATTCCTATATAATTTGGGAAGTGCAAAACAAGATTAGTAAATGTGATAAAAATAACAATATTGAATCTAGTTAATAAATTTTCAAATATTACCTTAGAGGTAAAAGACGTGGGGTCCATGTAGCCTGGTGTTCCATATACCGAGCTGTCATCAGGTTCCTGATATATTAAAATGATAATAAGGCGCCATAATAATAAGAAAATTAAAGACACTGTTAAAGAAAATATTTTAAACTGCAATCCCATACAAAAATTAAGATGTGATAATAACTAAGAGAAATAAAATATGTTTTTGAAAATCACATACTGTTATTATGCTTCTGACAATATCCTCGCTGATAGGATACCATAGTTTAACTTTTTTATATAATGGATGTTTTTCATAATATGACACCAACTCCACCAGACTTTCAAACTTGACTGTGCCTATGGTGTACAGTCTGCCCTCGAGTTTTATTCTGCAGTGCTTAATTTCTTTTTCAGTCCTATGAGACGAGAACGCAATTATTATTTATGCCTGGCTGTTAATAAAGTACGTTAAAATAAAAGAAATAATATTTATTTTTATAGACACAATATAATTATACATATTATTTATTTATATATTTATATAAAATTGAAGTGTTTGCAATACCTAAAGATGCATGAGAAACAGGTTATGTTGATATATAAAAACACAAACACTAGGCAATGAGTGACTACAAGTGAACAAAAAAATCAAGTAAATAAAAACTCACCGAAAGCTTATTGCAAAGGAACCCTGTTCTTTTTCACTAGGTCTAACTAAGAATGCGCCATCTATATTTGCCTTACGAAGCAATTCTTCAGCTTGAGCTCGTGAGCAGTGAGGATGATACCAATCTTTACCTTCATGTTTGTTTGGCTGTGGTACAGGCTCCTTTAGGGTTATTAAAAATTCCTGCAAAATTCTTTTAGAATTAATAAAAAATATAATTACATAATACACTTATGTATTTATTTTTTATTTATATTTTATTCATCGAACTTAGTATAAAAGTAAGTATTTTAACTCGATGATTTTCAAAATTACTGTCGTAACATTTTATCAAAAGATGTTACCTGGCTGCGTAGTGGATGTTGCCTGTAGTGAGTAATTAAACTATAAAGACTATCAAAACACACTGTGTCTATAAGGTAATATTTAGTAACACCCCTTTCTTGCTTTAATTTAATGCGGCAGTGATTTACTTTGCCTTGTCTCCAGAATGACAGACAGTAATCACCAACAAACGTAACACTTTCTCTGACAAGAAATGTGCCATCCCCAAGATGAGAATGTGCTCGTAGTAGGTCTTCTGCTTCTTGCCTATTACCAGCCAATTTACCATGAAACCAACATTCACCAAAATGCAATTCATCTTGAGGAATGCTTGCATTGTCAACTTCTGGTTCACCATCGCTGTCAATATCTGTTTCGCCCTGTGTGCTATAGTTTTCTGTATAATATAATTTACTTTCAGTTAAGATAAAAGCATGAGGGTTCCATTCTTTATCAACAGGATCTTCTAAGAGCAAAATGCCATTTTTAATAGAATTTCGTAGATCTAAGTCTTTGCCCTCTTCTTGGCGGACCGCAAACGAATTTTCTTCAGCACCTTCAGGTAATTTTTTGTGCTTCAAGATAATCTTTCGACGTAAGTCATGTGGTGATGGTAAGCTAGTTTCATTTTTCTCATTTGGCTGAACCAGCAACATATCACCAAATACGTCCTGAAAGGCACTTGCCATACGTCTTTGCTGAGGTAGAGAACAATTGTCTTCAATTGATAAAATAAGGGGATAATCTGAAGTGATGAAAGCATGTTCTTTGATGGTACGTAAAACATCCATAAATCTAATTTTCGTTGTTAATGTATGACCATGATAAATAAATGGAGTCCCATCCGGACCATCCCAGCAATCTAATTCTATGCATCTGCAGCCAGATCTTAAGCAACGCACATAAGCCTCTAATGAAGATTCACTTGAGAATTGATCTCCAGTCAGGTATCTAGCAAAACATAATGAATTATAATAAAAGATTCCTTTAGAGAGTTTATAAAAAGATGTACATTTTGAGTAATTTGTTGTCGTACAAAGTTATCCATTTATATTGAGCACATAATGTCTTAAGATAAATATTTTAAAGGTCATTTTTCTAGTTTATAAGCCTGTCTGTATCTCAATTTCTATTATCAGTTTCTTGATGCGTCATTTCTCTATGAAACTGAGAAATTGTAAGGAATAGATAAGTACTAATTAAAAATAATTAATTAATTAATTTTCTGAGCAAGAATAGTAAATTACATTTCAAAAGGTACCTCTTTTCTCCAAACAAATGCATATTTTTATAGTTTCTTAAAAAAACACTATAACCTAAACACGAAAGAATATACCTTCCTTTATGGGTCTACTGGCAGATATTTTACTAAATTATGGAATAGGTTCTACCTTTGCCCGAACTCACTATATTACTGTCTTTATATCTTGTTGTGTGTATATAAATAATTCCAAAAAAGAAGTAGGTTTTCTTATAGGTGTTTACATATTATGCACATTGCAGATCATCATCATCATTACAGCCTTTCACAAGTCCACTGCTGAACATAGGCCTCCCCCAAGGAATGCTACAAAGCACGGTCCTGAGCCACCTGCATACCATCGACTTCCTGCATGTCTTACCACCTGGTCACTCCATCAAAGGGGGTCGCCCCACATTTCGCCTACCGGCAAGAGGCTGCCACTCGAGAACCTTTCTTCCCCATCGATTAATTTATTCCACATTCGGTCTTCAGCTTCGACGTTGGCTCTTTCTGGCAGACAGATGTCTGGCAAAGACTTTGGAGCCCTGGTTGCGCTCGATCGCTTCTTCAATACGAGCTGTATTGAAGTTGCGTAAGTACCGCCGCATGTATTTAGAGATCTGTCTGTTCAGTTGTCTCTGTGTTGTTATATACGCTGAAGACGCAGCTTCATTTCCCGTCTAACAGTCACGAGATTAAGAGTGTGATCGTTAAGTTTTTGTGGTCTTCTGCGACGGGTTTTGCAGAACTTCGACCGCATGGACAGTTTCCACGAGCCTCTCATTCGTCGTATCGTCCACTGCGTTGCAGTTTTTTAACTCGAGCTGAAAGATTTCGGGGCTTTGGATTAGAGCACGAGCGGGACGGAGCGTTGACTTCATAAGACGTGATCTCTCCAACTTAACGTTTAGGTTCAGTGTGCTTCTCACCATTCGGTGATCGCTGCCAGTTTTCACCCTCGTGATCACTGAGACATCACTGAACAGTTGCCGTCTAATCATCATTATGAAGTCAAAGGTTAGAACCAGGTCCACTATCCATGGGCCGCTTCTGGAAGAGAATTCATCATAAAGAGTCCCTCTTTCTCGATGAAATCAGCCAGTTGCTGGCTCCTTGGGTTCCGTTGTCCTAACCAGAATTTCCCTACTTTCAGCTCACTGTTCTCGCTTGTTCCTAGTTTTGCGTTGAAGTCTCTCATTAACACCGTATAGTGGGTTTCAACGGAATGTGACGAGTTTCGCGCGTAAACCTGTACGACATTCAATGAATACAGTGTGACGATTCACACGCTCCTAATCTTTACAACGTTGTTAATGAGAAACTTGTGGACGATAAATTCGACACCTCCACATCCTCCCGGTGATAGGACAATAATCATTGCATTATTAAAATTGTCCACATTTTTAGTCATTATTAGATAACAATTCTTACGAAGCCGCGGTAGATCAGATAAGCTCTCGCCGTAAGTATCACAGTATGCGAGCAATCCGCACCCCGCAGGCATCAATGAATCTTTTAATGTCAATTTTAAGTGCTGATGTTACCACGTGCTCGTCAGATACATAGTGAGGAAACCTGCGTTTCCGAGGGAAAAATATTTCGAATAACTCGCACACAGCGCAAGCTCCTCGGACTAATAGCTTTATTATAACTCTTTCAGAAATGAGAAAAGGCCTGCGCCCAAAAGTGGGACGCATATAGGCTGTAACTGTACTACTTACGTATTATGGGAAGACGAGATCCAGTAATGTGAAAGTGGTTTTGTCATATCTTGTGTTACTTGGTCATGTTGACTGTCCCAAATTGTATTATGTTTGGAGAATAGCATTTCTATAAACTAAAGAACATTTTAAATATTAAAATAAAAAAATATGTAAGATAAACATCTTAGAATGTTGCACAAAAGTACTTACTTCGTTCAACGTAAAGTACGGTTCATAAATATCTCTTTGTGGATCACGTAAGTAATCCCTAATAAACTGCGAAGCTTTACCCTCATCCTCTCCTAGTTTGTCATGTTGCTCAGCTAGTAAAAATCTTTGGAATTCACGAAGAGTAATGGTAGTGCCATTAGCACAATAGAGAGAATACTTGTCAAATATATCATGCACATTCTGCAAACATCACAAAATGATAAAACATTTTAAGTTCAGTACGTCTGAAGTTTTAAATATATTTTGCTACATTTTTATTATTTTTTTCTCCTGAATTTTCTCATGAAATAAATATGCAGGACATAACTATCACAACCTTTAAAAATTTCAGTAACCAAAAATTGTTTAATAAGAGTTATTATGCTATTAAAGAGTAAATTATTGATAATATCCCCCGGGAATGAGATGATCTACCATATTTTTAAATATTATCATAATATGATATAAATATTATTTAAATGTACGAGTACAACATGTGTAATTGTAAATTATGTTTACAACTATCCTGCAGGTTTTCTTACAGGTCCTACCTAGGACAAAGGTGTTTTTCCGAACCAATGGTAAAAGCATAAATATCTTTCAATGAGTATTATTTTAATCTATATTGACCAAGATTATACCAAGATGAGAACTGGCTGGCATATACATCTAAGTAGACGTAAGGCGCATTAGCAAAAATCTTGTAATTTATTACCACCGTTCTAGATATTTTAGGTTTGATATATTGGAAATGTTTATTAAGCTATTAAAGGATGGTATTACGAATTAAGTCGACTTTCTACAATCGTTTACGCTAATAGAAAACTATAAAAATGAATAGAATGACATATTTCAACGTTAAGTCACGCGAATTAGGCTTGAAGAGTTTCAAAAATATTACAAAGCGAAAGAAGTTAATAGACAATGTTTAAAATTTCATTCCATGTTCATGTGCTCATCTCAGTGTGGTATAGAAGCCAAGAGCCAAAACGTCAAGCGCGTTGAGAGTTCACGATGTGGTAGACCTACCCACGTAGCATGCAAGCTGTATACGAGCTGTATGGAAGTTCGTTTTTATACTAGAGGCTGAATTTTCTGGCTGTACAAAAGCTGTATAAAAGCTTATACAGTTCTTATAAGTAATAAATTGGCACAAATAATGCAGCTTTATGCGTTAGTAGCGCTGTACAAGCATAAAAGAGGCTGTATAATTGCTGTATTACAGCTGTTATTTGAAGTGCAAGGAAATTGAAGTAGTGTAATAGTACACTACAGTTATTATCTAAAGACAAACTTCTAAAGAAAAACATTCTAAATTGGTTTTTGAACGGAATCACAAATTAATATAAAACAAAAAGGATGTTTATTGAATTATAGCGACATTTAATGTCTTAACATATATTTAACATATTAATATTATATTCCGATTGGAGTTGAGTTTTGACGAATTTTGGTGAATTGAAAGTGCAAAATTACATTTATGGTAAACTTGTATATGTTTTCTACCAAAAAATTGTCGCGCTAGCAGTATACGGGTTCGGTTGTATAAGTGAGAATAAAAAAAGTATTAAATTAATGGATATGAAGGCACATTGGGGCACAGTTATCATTAGTCAAACTGAAAATAATAGTATAGGCTAAGACTAATGTCAAATATTCCCAAAATTATATTTTAAATTTTGTTTTATGGGTCTTAAAATGGCGACAATTTGCTAAACAGCCTAAAAGGTTTTTTAGGCTGTATAGCAAATTGTCGCATTTCGAATGTCTTATAGTCTTAGTAGCTGTACTATGTACTTATATGTTATGGATTATATCATGCAGCCATTAGTTTTTAATCAGTTCTATAATAGGACATTTTTATTACTTACGCTGTATAGCAGTATTTCAATATAACATATAATTATCTTTAGAGCTACGTATAAAAGATGAAAAACCTTGTCTTGGGAACAGTGCTGGATAAATTTAATTTAGATTTAACATGATTTTTTAACGGCATCAAATCTTTTGCTTTTTTCCACATACTGATAACAAATTTATTTAGTTCAATAGCTCAATATAAACACGCAACACATGCAAAATGGTGATATTCTGTCACTTATACAGATTTAAGTTCTACTACGGCTGTTATTTATTTTTTTAGTTTTATATCACTCTCATAGGCAGAAGTCATAAAACTACTGTATTTACAAAAGTGTACAATCACACCATTTGAATAAGTTTTAGAAAAGAGTTTGCATACAACATTGTTCAGAAATAAGATTTTAGTAATACTATAATAACACTTAGAGCTGTATAAGCAAGGGACAGAATGCAGAAAAACAGCTTCTATACAACTTTAATTATAAAATAAGGTTGAAGTGTTACAAGATACTTAAAGTTGAATTCTAGAGTTTTCATAATCTGATAAAAACCCTAAGCTTACTTAGATCCCATAATAGAGACTTTATACAGCTTGATCTGTATAATAACTCATAAACCACTCTTATGAAGATACAATTTCTTTTCAACACTCTTATACACTTTTAAAAGAACCCTAAGTTCTATGTGGGCTGCTATGTTGATGTTCATAACGCTTGTGTGCTGCTTGGGAGATTCGAGTACAGTCTGACGTCAGAACGGTAAACAGCTTGGGCTCTCGGTTCCGACCGTAAACAAAATGTCTATGCAACTTATCATTAACATCGGGGTATCCACCATCCCTCGGAGGATTTCGCACGTGGTTATTTACTGAAATGGACCTCTGAGAAGCTATACCTAAGACATCCTAGTAGGAAATATTTACGAGGGGATTTCAAAAAGTTCGCGGAATGGCGGGATTGGCAAGGGTGAGGTTTTACTCATCCAGGTAGGCGCTAGTTGAGTGACTCATTGTTAGTATAAATACCAAGATTCAGCCTAATCGGGACGGCGTCCGCAGGCCGAGAAACACTCTCTTGGACCCGCCAAATAAGTTGTCAAACGACCTGAACTGCCTCCTGGCGGCTCAGGCCAATCCTAATTAAATTAAAAACTAGTTAAAATTAATAATATGCCTTCGTAGGCAGTCCCTAAACGGCACTTAGCCGTCTGCGCCCTCTTTTCCCAAAAGAGGGTCGCTTTAGATACGGCATATGCAGCTTTAATAGAGCTAGTTGCCAGTCCCCAAAGGCGGTTTTTAGTGGGTATCACTTAGGTCCCCCGGTAGGCAGTGAGTCCCACATAACCAGGACAGACCGGCTGTCGTGGTATGCATAATGCATTTTCCGCCTCCCTCAGTGGTAGCCCTTTTCCAATTGCTTCGGGCGCAAAAAAAAAAAAAAAAAAAAAAACTAATCGGGTCATTAGCTTCTGAGTTATCAACGAGTAAACAAGTCAATCGGGAAGAAACTAGCCATTATGGAGAAAATTGAATACCGCGCCTTCATTAAGTTTCTTACCAAACAAGGAAAGACACCTCAAATCATTTTTCAGGAGATATCAACTGTTTATGGGGACTCTGCTCCTGGGAAAACCATGATTTATATACGGCACAAGGGAGGGACTCCATTGAAGACGACTCCCGACCTGGACGGCCGATGGAGGCTACCACGCCAGATATAATCGAAAAATTTGAAAAACTTGTATCGGAAGATGCCCGGCTAAAGAAAAAACAGCTTGCAGCATTTGTTGGAGTATCAGAAACAACTATTTTAAACATCCTGCATCAACACCTTGGCAAGACTAAAGTATGTGCAAGATGCGTTCCGAGAATGCTTTCTGCGCATCAAAAACACGAACGCGTCGAAAGTTGTCGCAAGTTTTTGGACCGATGTGGAGAGCAAAAGGATGAAGTTATGGCCCGAATTGTAAATGACGATGAAACTTGGGTTCACCATTATGAACCCGAGTTAAAGCAAGAGTCGATGCAGTGGCACAAAAAAGGTCACCCCCTACTAAGAAGTATAAGGTGTCTCAATCGGCCGGAAAGATCATGGCGACGATCTTTTGGGATACAGAAAGTATCCTTTTGATTGATTATAAAGAACGTGGTGTTTCCATAACGAGAGAATACTACCCTTCTTTACTAGATCAATTAATAGAAGCTATTAAAGACAAAAGGCGAGGAATGCTTATAAAAAGCGTGCTCCTTTTGTACGACAATGCGCCCGTGCACACAAGCCATGTTTCGACGGCTTCCATTCACCGGTTCGGTTTTCAACAACAGCGCCACCCATCCTACAACCCAGACCTGGTCACAAGCGACTATTATTTATGTCCAAAAATGAAAAAAGAACTGCGTGGGAAAAAATTTGGCGATGATGGTGAAGTGAAGTCGGCAATTTCGGCCTATTTTGACGCCCAAGACAAATCTTTTTTTTTTAGACGGTCTTAATAAGTTATTTGACAGATCTAATAAATGTATTAGGGTAAAACGAGAATACATTGAAAAGAAAAATAGTTTAATATTATAGTTTAATTTCATTATCCTTCCCTGTCTATCCGCGAACGTTTTGACCTCCCCTCGTAAGTACATGTACGAATGTTGGATAGTACCTACAAGTCTGTTAGCTAAGCAAGTGTGAGGCTCGACTTTGTTTCATAGGCCTAAAAGGGTTGATGATTTATTTAGATTATATTTAATTGCACTCAAATAAATAAAATAGTACCGATGTAACGTTTACTCTATATATTACATTATGACTAAACACTACTATTAACAGGCGGTCGCTAATAAAAATAAAAATGATTTGTTCATTCAATTGTTCTTACATCTATGGTTCATTCAGTGATACAGAGATGTCTGCCTTCGGTTTTAAATAAAACTACATTCTTTCGCGATTATCAACGCGTGGGTCACATAATGTAGAAAACATTATGTGATCCATGCGTTAAACATTAAACACAACAGAACAACAAATGAAAGTAGGAATATTTCGAAGAAGAGATATATAATCAGATAAATCGCGCACGCAAGCTAAATAAAACTTTATCGCTGCGCGCGAGTGTCCGTATTTACTTTGCATCTTTTCCCTTTCCTACGTCACGACGTCCGTCGACTACGACTACGACTTTCCGTGGTTAGTAAGGGCTGTTAATAAAGAGTAATAAAATACATTGTGAAACGGTAAGTAAGTTACTTAGGTAAAGTACCTATTCTGACTATCATCGACCATATTCCCGCTACCATGTGAGTTCAATGATGCTCAACACATGCAATATGTAGTAGTAAATCTTAAATATCGCCTTGAAGCAGGTATATCAACTATGAGTCTATATGGATATTAACTACACTTCGATATAAATAGACTACAATAGGATAGAGATGAGACTGATAGCGATTTCATTGGATACTAAATACCAAATATTTGTCTAGGTTCTAAGTCCATCCGAACTGCAAAATATTCGGTCACAACTTGTAAGCCACAACAAATTGTGACCAGTTATAAAACAATTAATTTGTTGACCATGATATTTTAATTAGCTTATATTTGTCATTGTCATCATCATCATTACGGCCCTTCACAAGTCCACTGCTGAACATAGGCCTCCCCCAAGGAATGCCACAAAGCACGGTCATGAGCCACCTGCATCCATTGACTTCCTGCATGTCTTACGAGGTCGCCACTCCATCCAGTGGGGGGACGCCCTACACTTCGTCCGCCGGTACGAGGCTGCTACTCGAGAACCTTTTTTCTCCTTAGGTTGTCTGTTCTTCGAGTTATGTGGCTGGCTCATTGGCACTTCAGCATACTAATTCTTTGGGCTACGTCGGTTACTCTGGTTCTACTGTGGATATCCTCGTTTTTAAGTCTATCATGCAGAGAAATGCCGAGCATAGCCCTCTCCATAGCTCGCTGAGCGACTTTGAGCATCCTCATACGGCGAGCAGTGAAGGACCACATCTCAGTTCCTTAGGTCATCACTAGCAACTCGCACTGGTTGTACAGTCTCGTTTTCAAGTTTTGAGGTATACCTGACGAGAAGATGTGCCGTAATTTCCCGAACGCAGCCCAGCCGAGTTGAATCTGTGGATTGAACTATCGGTCGAAGTTGGACTAACCTAGTCGGACTATTTGTCCCAGGTATACACATTCGTCAACAACTTCGAGCTTAGTGCTCCCAACAACTACCAGCATAGGTGTGACATAGACGTTACACATTACTTTTGTTTTGTCCATGTTCATCTCAAGACCTATCTGTTTGGAAACACTATTGAGGTCATTGAGCATAGTGCTTAGGTCCTCCAGCGATTCTGCCATAAGGACTATATCGTCGGCAAATCGAAGGTGAGTGATATACTCGCCGTTGATGTTAATACTGTATCCTTTCCAGTCCAGTAGCTTGAAATCATGTTTCAATGCAGCGGTGAAGAGTTTTGGGGATATTACGTCACCCTGTCTTACACCTCTCTGCAGTTGGAGAGGTTCTGTACTCGGATAGCCATCGTAATCCTACTGTACAAACACTTCAACACTACGATATACTGACAGTCCACTTGACACTGCTGAAGGGACTGCAGCACCGCCCAAATTTTGATGGAATCAAAAGCTTTCTCATAGTCCACATACACTATGCAAAGTGGCAGATTGTACTCTTCAGTCTTCTGTACAATTTGCCGAAGGGTATGTATGTGGTCTATGGTACTAAAGCCTTTTCGGAAACCAGCTTGCTCGGGAGGCTAGAAGTCGTAAAGCCTGCATACATGTTAAATAAAATTTATAAAATGTGAAACAATTTTTAACTTACATTTTCATCAAATATTAACTTGTGATAAAGTATTGAAAAATCATCATAACCAATTTCACCACATTTATTTGTATCAACTTCTTGGAAAATGTCTCTTAATTTACTTGTCGAAATTTTACAGTTCACTTTAGGCAGAAATGCCTTTACCTCCTTAAGAGTAATCCTGTTAAAAAATAAATTTAATCACTGAATAAACTGACATAGATGTGAAAATCTGTACAATAAATCTAAAATATAAATAAATATAAAAAAAATCTAATAAATAAAAAACTATAATATATTATAATATAAATTTGCTTACTTTTCATGCAAATTCTCTATTGCATAAAATTCTTTCCTTAGCCATCTTTCTATTTGCAATGGATATGATGTGTTTACAGCTTCCTCAACCAAAAACCTTATGCCTTTTACCCAAGTCTCACATTCCTTATCAGTTTGGGCTGAAATAATGGAAATAACGTATATTTCAAAAATAGACCAACAACACAAGTAGCAATATTAAACAGCTGTGTTTATTGCCTCGCTCATGTTGTCATCATGTAAAGCAAATCAAAACAACAATAAAGCATTGTAAATTCAAGGAAATTCTGAGTTGACGCATTCATCTATATTTACAAGAATTGTTTTAAATAGATTAAGCCTCTTACCAGCAAGAGACATAAACCGCAATTTAAACTCTGTTCCATAGTATATAGTGAAGCATTTTGAATTTTCCAGTCTTTTAGTCTCTTCAGGCCATCGCTCAAAATCTTTCGAATTCTTGCCAATCCGCACCTCTTTAATATCTCTTATATCTAAAGATCCTTCTAGAGCATGTCTTTGTGGTGCGCCATTTCTGAACAATATAACTTGATGAGTTTCCCGGCGAACTGATAAGGTTAAACGTTCAGGTCGTTTTCGGGGATAAAATTTTAGTACCGTGGATCCCCGCTCTAAGTAAGATATAAGCTGATCGGCCTCATGGATAAGTCTATCGTTGCCCCCGTTGTAGCAGACAGAATTCATGGCACTTCCTTTATTAGTACAGTGTTCTGAGCACTAATGAGTTACTACATGGGATCTGCTTATAGAAGTTTGCGAGCCAAATCAAATTCTCTTCAGTGAATAAGCATTAAGAATATTTATTTGTATTCGTACTGTGCCATTCACACACTTTCGCTCGTTAAAGATGAGTAGTACTAGTAACTAGTATACCTATACCTTTACCTTTTCCTTGCCTACAATCTGATTGTTTGCATAGATAAATAAGATCACAGAACACTAATACCCTTAGGCGGGAATAAGATTGTTTGGCTTTGACAATGACATTTCCATTTTTTTTAATTTAGTATTTTGACTTGGATGCTTATCTTTTTTAGCCATGGTTTCATATAGTGTTGCCCAAAATCGGTCTTGGCCTTGGTCTTGACCGCCTATTTTTAGAAAGACCATGACCAAGACTGACCGTGCAGGACAACAAGACTAAACTTACGAGGCTCTTGCGTCTAGCAGTTAGGACAGTGTGTCGTTTCAGGGAGTATAGGAGTTCGAGTATACGCTTAGGGACTCTAAGAGACGCAAAAAAATATAATTAAAAAAATGGAAAAATGGACTTATGCGCATTACGAACAATACCATAAACATACATAGCGAATGAAAATATCCATTCAAAGAAAAAAGAGTGCATCCCTAGTTATGACCGGCACAGCATAGTGCGCGGCGTCTTAATGTCGGCGTCATCAAAGTTTAAGAAATTTTGCAGCTATTCGAAAGTACAAGGTCAAGATACACACGTGATGGTGGCTACTATTGACATCGCATACAATCATCGTCGACGCGCCGCACGCACTACATTTGACACAGTTTGATTGCCGCCACAGAGTACATGTTCCAAAGAATTAAATAAGTTTCAGAATGGACCCGAATACATTATGCTAATCTCGCAAGGAATATTGTAATTAGATAATGGTAAGGATAGGTAGATATCATAATAATTTATTCTAGTAAGTAATTATTATAACATTAACTATAAAGGTTTATAATAATAATAATTGTTATTATTATTATTACCTAATAGATAAACATTTTCAATAAGTTCACTGCATATCTCGACTTTTGGAAGTATGTGTTTTTAAAACACAAAGTGCTCAAATATGTCGTCACCCATTTGATAAATATTGTAGACACTTTTAAAACACTTGAAATGTATAAAAATGGATCTGGATCTTGTATTCAAGTCTTAGTTATTAACGAGTTGGAGGAGTACCTAAGTAAACCCAGAGCCGCCAGCTCGGAAGATATTTTAGAGTGGTAGAGGACACATGAGACAAAATATCCGATTTTATCGAAGATGGCTCGTGATTTTCTTTCAATACCTGCAACTTCAGTACCTGCTGAGAGATTATTTTCTAAAGCATCATTAGTAATTAGAAAATATAGAAATAGATTAAGTAATGAGTCAGCCAGATGGTTACTTTGTATTAATGCTTAGTCAAAAGAATTAATATAAAGTAACAGTAACGTCAAAGCTATTGTGTACTGTAAAGTAATTTAATTTATATCGTATTTTATTTTTTATTTAAATAAATGGTATATGGTATTACTCTTTTATTCCAGTTCTTTAAAATACAGTGAAGTTATTGCTATAAATTTGTTTTTATATGTTTCCCCGTGTAGTGGCGGGTAAGAATACTCACTAGCCCATATCTTCCCGTGGGTGCCGTAAGAAGTGACAGAGGGAAACAGGCAGGAGATGGGCAGCAGCATCTTCCTGATAACAGCAAAAAACCAATAAAAACTGCGGTTGCCAACCCACTCGCCAAGCGTGGCAACTATGGCAATATACCCCCAATGAAAGTAACGAAGAGACGGCCTCCAGCCCCCGGCGGCCCCGCTATTCCTGGCTACGGTGGCAACCATGGTAACGGCGGGGCAGGGGCTGCTAAGAATTTCCGGTGGAGGTTCGGTTGCCACCTACGACGACTCGATCTGGCAACTTATAACGCACGCACCTTGAGGACTGACGAGAAGATCCTGGAGCTGGAAGAAGAGATAGACAAAATGCGCTGGAATGTCATAGGATTATCCGAAGTTCGAAGAGAGGGGGAGGACACGGTAATCCTTGAAACCGACTATTTGTTCTATCACTGGGAGGGCGACCATCTGCCCCAAGGAGGTGTCGGATTTATCGTCCACAAGCCTCTCCTTAACAATACTCTCATGAAGAACTAGAGACCGATTTCCCTTCTGAGCCGCGTCTACGTGCTGTTTTCGAGAGTCATTACGAATCGTCTCGCGCGCAGACTTGACGACTTCCAGCCTCCCGAACAAACCGGTTTCCGAAAAGGCTTTAGTACCATAGACCACATACATACCCTTCGGCAAATTGTACAGAAATCCGAGGAGTACAATTTGCCACTATGCCTGGCGTATGTGGACTATGAGAAAGCCTTTGATTCCGTTGAAATTTGGGCGGTGCTGCAGTCCCTTCAGCGATGCCAAGTTGACTGTCGGTATATCGAAGTGCTGAAGTGCTTGTACAGTAGGGCTACGATGGCTATCCGAGTACAGAACCAGAGTACGAAACCTATCCAATTGCAGAGAGGTGTAAGACAGGGTGACGTTATATCCCCGAAACTCTTCACCCTGCATTGGAGGGCGTTTTCAAGTTTCTGGACCGGAAAGGACACGGTATTAACATCAATGGCGAGTACATTACTCACCTTCGATTTGCCGACGATATAGTCCTTATGGCAGAATCGCTGGAGGACCTAAGCACTACGCTCTAACGGTGGTAGAGCCACGCAGCAGTTTTTGCTGTTGCACGTATCGGCCGGCTCGAGCCGGGTTGGTACCACGACCTCACAGAATACCGGCTTGAAGTAGAAGCTCTGCTTCTGCGTTTCGTCTGGTGAGTGCAGGTGGCCGGAGGCCCAATTCCCGCCCCCCCCCCCCCATCAACATGGTTGCGGAATTACACGTTAGACTACCTCAGGAGGGTACCAGCACCCCTGGAGAATCCCTCGCTGAGCATCCACCACCATGTTATTCCACTCCTGAGCGTGCGTGCTCAGGCTGCCCCGCGTATTCTGAGGGGGGGGGGGCAATATTCCGCTCAAAAACATAACTGTTCGGGGCAAACTGAGCAACAAGACCAAGGCGACTCCTGACACGCTATCCGCTCAAACCTGACCGCCGTCCACTACCATCTCGAAACAGCGAAGCTGGCCTCGCTCTTTCTGACCGAGACGCAGGTTTCCTCTCCGGCTGATATTTCGTATCTCTCCTGCCCGGGGTACAAATTGGAGCACTCCTTTGTGCCTCGGGCTGGTGTTTGCGTGTATGTCAGAGAGGACATCTATTCTCGACGCCTCGGCAGTGTTGAAGGTTCGGACCTGTCCATCCTATGGCTACGCATAGACAGCGACGACCATCCGCGCGTCAACAGGTGCCTCTATAGGGCCCATAGCGGTAATGCCGAAACAGACCGACTCATTGTCCACGTCCAAATGGCTACAGATTCTTTGCTACAACAGGTCCCGTCCGCAGAGATCGTGATCCTTGGCGATTTTAACGCCCACCACGCCGAATGGCTCGGTTCACGTTTAACCGATCATGCGGGGAGATCTGTTTATGACTTTGCTTTGACATATGGTCTGACACAACTGGTTACTTCGCCTACGTGGATTCCAGATGTTGAGGATCATATACCTTCCCTGTTGGACCTTCTGCTGACCTCTCATCCGGACGGATATCAGGTTTCCGTCGATGCCCCTCTCGGCTCTTCGGACCATTGTCTGATCCGGAGTATGGTGCCACTCACGCTCCCTTCGCGGTTGCGTTCTGCAGGTTGCCGCCGTGTTTGGCATTACAGGTCGGCGGATTGGGACGGAATGCGGTCTTTCTTTGCATCCTACCCATGGGGGCGGGTTTGCTTCTCGCCGGATGATCCCAGCGCTGTTGCTGACTCTGTCACTGATGTGGTGCTACAGGGAATGGAACTATTTATTCCATCATCTGTGGTACCCATCGGAGGCAGATTTCAGCCTTGGTTTGGTCGCTCGTGTAAGACTGCATTACGCAGTAAGCAGGAGTGTTATCAAGCCTGGGCTGCTGCTTCGGCGACTCGGGATGTAAGCACCAGCACACTTAAAAACAAGTATAACTTCGCCTCCAGGTCCTTCAAAAGAGTTATTGCCAAGGCAAAGTCAGAGCACATAGGTAGAATTGGCGAGAAACTAGTTCGCCTTCCTTCGGTAACCCGTGCATTCTGGTCTCTCGCCAAGGCTGTCCAAGGGAATTTCTGTAAGCCATCACTACCAGCTCTGCACAGGGAGGACGACTCACTGGCCCAAAGCGCAAAAGACAAAGCCGTCCTTTTAGGCTCCCTTTTTGCGTCCAACTCAACTCTTGATGACGGGGGGAAAACACCGCCGACCATCCCGCGGTGTGAGTGCTCCATGCTGGATGTGCTGTTCTCACAGTGCTCGGTTCGCAAAGCACTCCTATCCCTGGATATCCAGAATTCGAGTGGGCCCGACGGAATCCCCCCAATAGTGCTGAGGACGTGTGTTACGGAGTTGGCACCGGTCCTATCGCATCTTTTCCGGTACTCCTACTCCCAAGGCGTGGTCCCGAATTCATGGAAGACAGCTTTTGTCCACCCGATCCCTAAAAAAGGCGACCGCTCAGATCCGTCCAACTATAGGCCTATCGCGATCACCTCCTTGTTCTCCAAAATAATGAAATCAATTATTAACTGCCAGCTCATGCGGTACCTTGAGGATCACCAGCTGATTAGTGACCGCCAATACGGTTTTCGCCGGGGTCGATCAGCTGGTGATCTTCTGGTCTACCTGACCCATAAATGGGCAGAGGCAGTAGAGTACAGGGGGGAGGCGTTGGCCGTTAGTTTGGACATTGCGAAGGCCTTCGATCGGGTTTGGCACAAAGCGCTTCTTTCGAAGCTCCCTTCCTATGGGCTTCCCGAGAAATTGTGCGATTGGATCACCAGCTTCCTTGCAAATCGGAGCATCAAGGTCGTTGTAGACAGTGCATGCTCCGACTACAAGCCTATTAACGCTGGTGTTCCACAAGGCTGTAAGCTATCACCAACGCTGTTTCTTCTGTATATCAATGATATGTTGCTAACTGGTAACATTCATTGCTATGCGGATGACAGCACTGGTGATGCTCTATACACCGGCCGTGCCAAAATTTCTCGGGAAAACGTCGCCGAGTACCGGAACAAACTTGTGTCTGAAGTCGAGTATTTGCTGAACAAAGTCTCGGATTGGGGGCGACTAAATCTAGTCTAGTTTAATCCTCAGAAGACACAAGTTTGCGCGTTTACCGTTAAAAAGAACTACTTTGTCGTATCTCCTCAGTTTCAAGGCACTCCCCTTCTTGCCTCAGCCAGTATCGGAAACCTCGGAGTCGACATATCGAGTGACGTGCAGTTTCGTGATCACTTGGAAGAAAAGGCCAAATTGGCCTCTAAAAAGCTTGGCGTGCTCAGCAGAGCGAGACAGTATTTCATGCCGGCACACCACCTGCAACTTTACAAGGCGCAGGTTCGGCCTCACAAAGAAAACTGTTCCCATCTCTGGGCAGGGGCTCCCCAGTGCCAGCTCCTTCCACTTGACCGCATCCAGCGCAGAGCGACTCGAATCGTCGACGACCGAGTCCTTTCCGATCGGCTCGATTAATTGGCACTGCGAAGAGATGTTGCATCCCTTTGTATTTTCTTTCGCATCTACCACGGGGAGTGCTCTGAGGAATTGTTTGGATTAATCCCAGCCGCCAAATTTCACGGACGCACATCGCGGCAGAACTCCCCATACCATCCACACCATTTGGATGATTAGCGGTCCACAACTGTGCGATTTAGATGTTTTCTTCCTCGCACGACTTCCTTGTGGAATCGATTACCATCAGCGATTTTTCCGGGCCGATACGACTTAGGGACCTTCAAGAAAAGAGCGTACTCCTTTTTAAAAGGCCGGCAACGCATCTGCGATTCCCTCCCTGGTGTTGCGGTTGTTCATGGGCGGTGGTAGTCACTTACCATCAGGTGAGCCGCATGCTCATCTGCCCCCTCTCCTACAAAAAAAAACGCTCAATGACCTCAATAGTGTTTCCCAACGGATAGGTCTTAAGATGAACATGGACAAAACAAAGATCATGTTTAATGTCCATGTCACACCTATGCCGGTAGTTGTTGGGAGCACTAAGCTCGAAGTTGTTGACGAGTATGTTTACCTGGGACAAATACTCCAACTAGGTAAGTCCAACTTCGACCGAGAGGTCAATCTACGTATCCAACTCGGTTGGGCAGCGTTCGGGAAATTACGGCACATCTTCTCGTCAGGTATACCTCAAAACTTGAAAACAAGACTGTACAACCAGTGCGTGTTGCCTGCCAGTGATGACCTATGGTACTGAGACGTGGTCCTTCACTGCTGGCCGGATGAGGAAGCTCAAGGTCGCTCAGCGAGCTATGGAGAGAGCTATGCTCGGAGTTTCCAGAACCGACAGAGAGGAGAACCAGAGTGACCGACATAGCCCAACGGATTAGTAAGCTGAAGTGGCAATGGGCCGGTCATATAGCTCGAAGAACCGACAGCCGATGGGGAAAAAGGTTCTCGAGTGGCGGCCTCGTACCTGCGGATGAAGTTTAGGGCGTCCCCCCACTAGATGGAGTGACGACCTGGTAAGATAAGCAGGAAGTCGATGGATGCAGGTGGCTCAAGACAGTGCTTTGTGGCATTCCAGGGGAGGCCTATGTTCAGCAGTGGACTTGTGAAGGGCTGTAATGATGATATGTTTAACCATGTTTTAGCACATGTAAGCTTATTATTTCGCTAGCCGGCAACGCATCTGCAATTCCCTCCCTGGTGTTGCAGCTGTTCATGGGGGGCGGTAGTTACTTAGCATCAGGTGAGCCGCATGCTCGTTTGCCCTCTCTCCTATAAAAGAACATTAAATGCAAACGTTTATTAAGAAACAGACTGACGCCCGTGGCCGTGGGACATGGTAGAAAGCTCAGTTGGTTAGAGCATCGGCACGGATCGCTTAGGTCGTGGGTTCAAACCCCACCCGGTGTCAGTTGATTTTTCGAATTTCTCATTAAATGTTTAACCATTTGTTAATTTGGTTAATCTTTACTATGGCTATGTTAATTCAAGCTCAATATGTACCTACTCTGTTAAGTTGTTCTAAGATCTAAAATAACGTTTAATAAATAGTAATAGGCTAATAGGTCACTGCGAGACTTGCGAGACTCTTGCTGACCAACACCAAGACCAATACTGGGAGCGCAATACCAAGACCAAGACTAAGACTGGGAGCGCAATACCAAAACCAAGGCCAAGATCAGGTGTATTGGCGCAAGACCAAGACCAAGACTTGCTAAGACTCGTCTTGTTCTTGCATTTGGGCAACACTAGTTTCATTTATCTCAGGATCAAGCACTTAGAATATACTGTCGTATGTATAGACCTACGCCAATATATTCTATCAGGTAATATCTGTATAAATGTATCTGTATATATTAGGCATGAGACCGATATATCAAAACGTAACTAACGCCCTCTTTTCACTATGGGATATAATATAATTTATATAACGGTGCGTACACATTATATAACATAACATGTTATAAACATGTTTCAGTAATGTGGAAGCTGAATGTAAAAAACGTGTTATATAACGTAACGACTACGTCATATAACATTGTTATATTGCATTGTTATTTTAATGTGTACAGTATTGTTATATGTTGCAATGTAGAAAAACAATGTTACATAATGTGGACGTGTTACGTGTTACACAACATGTTACTTAATCTGTACGCACCCTAACATCTCGAGATATAAATTAATATCGCTCACCATACGTTTAAATGGCACCGTTTACACTGAGCTATAATATATATTACATTTCAAACTATAAATATTTTTTCGTTCAACCGAGCGATATTTTCATGTTATATTTCGCCCCCTGTACCCCGCACACCGATCCGTACCGCCGCAGAACCGTGTGCGGGGTAATTTATGGGTAGTTCTTCAGAGACAAAATTTTCGATTTCTATGGATATATTTCCTGTAACCAACTAATAAAACGGCATGTATTTTTTTTTGGACTGTTTTATCTGTATCTCTATCTGGGACAAAATATATTTTTCAAATAATTGCTGTCTAGGTACAGAATAAAAATATTTGAAGTTTGTTCTTCTGATTCATATAACGCGTCCGTTTGCCATTTTCCGGAACAAAATGGTCGATGTCGCATTTTTCCTTTGATAAATCAATATAAATAATAATTATATCGAAAGGAAATGAATTGCCCTCCTACAAAAAAAAATGGGTATTAGTTATAACTACGTTAGTGTGTTTATAAATAAGTAACTAAGAAGTGTCCGACGTATAATACTGATTAATGTGGCGTAAGCTGCGCTTGACCGTACTTGGTCGGGTAATAATTAATGAGAGTCTGGCTTCCTGCGCGGGGGGACGCCAGTCGTGCAACGAACGAGCTAGAAGGCGGACGTGCGGCTTTTTGGCTTAGATCCCGGTGTTACGAAGGTAAATATCTGATTCATCTGTGCTTGGTTCAGGTGGCATTCTGATTACACTGCCTACTTTATAAAATTTATTTTATTGTTTTAAAACTTCAATCTGAATTTCGTAAGGTGTTCTTGGGTTATAAATTCATGTAAAAAGATAAAAATACTAAAGTCTGTATGTATGATGAGTTATGCATGATTGTAGGCAAAATCCTGATTCATCTGTGCCTGATTCATATGGTCAAAACCCCATATAAATCATAAAATGAATTAGTTTTCGTCTCTCTAGCACAAAACGAGCGCTTTTGTTGCCTACTCCTTGTCCAATTTTTGAGCGTGTACAAGTCAGTAGTTCTAGTCTTATTTATTATAATTACTTAGATACAACCTTTTGAATGATTAAAAAATCACAGGAGTATAAATTTATTCTACATATGACACTTTTGATAGGCCTTAGTCTTAGTTAAGAATTAATAATTATTATTTAAGAATAACAATCACAACTAACAGTGTATTTATTACTTAAAATAATGTAAAGAAATTGAGACCAGTATTATTTAAATGGCACTTTTGACATTAATCTTCCGTATTAACAACCATAAAACCTACTTATTCATTAATCTCTATCTAATTTCTGTTATTTCAATATTACAGTCCATAACAATGCCACAAACTAAAGATCAAAAGAAGGAGAAAAAGAGAATCGCAGAACGTAAAAGGATGGAAAATATAAGAAAAGATCCAGACAAGTATGCTCTGTGGAAATTAAAAATGAAAGAAACATATTTGAAAAGAAAGAGAGAAGGTAAAATCATATCAGTTCAGAATTTGACACCGAAACAACAAAAATTAGCTAGGAAGAAAAGCAGAGAAAGTACTCGAAGATGGTATGCTAAAAAGAAATTATTAAAAGAACGTGATGTTCATTCAGAAGAGGAAATCATTGACGAATGTGATCCAGCAGACGATACCGAAATAAATGATCCTTTAGATTTGAAATTACCATCATCTCCAGAAGTTTCGATTATACCAAGATCTCCGGATATTCCCAGCTCATCACAGGTATTAACTCAGTTTTCACCACATTCTGCACGTATAACAAGATCAACAATAAGACAAAAGAGGACACTTGGAATTGATTTGAACCTAACAGAAAATGAAACCGATATCTCATCCAATGCTGACGTCCATTCGAGAATAATATCGCCTTCACCAAATACTTCGATATCAGATTCACCAAGGACTCCCAGCCCACAAAGTAGCATCACATCGTCTCCACGACGTGTCGTCAGCCCAAAAGTTTATAAAAAAGCTGCACGGGAAACACCTCTTAAAAAGAAATCGCCTTGGAAACATATTTTACGAAAGTTTCAATATAGATATACTAAAGAAATACAATTGAAAGACCAAAAAATTCTGGAACTTAAAAGAGTAAATGAAAATTACCGGAAAAAGGTAAAACGGTTAGAAAAAGATAAACGGGTAACAGACGTGCATAAAAGACAAAAGGAAAATCTACCTGGGAATGAAAAAATACAGATTGTTGTTGAACCCTGTGCTACCGGAATTAAAGAAAATGTCATTATGTATTTTGAAGAAGATGAAAACAGTAGAATGTGCGCGGGAAAAAAAGAATTTGTCACCAAAGGAAAAATAAGAAAACAGAAGCGATATCTTAGCGACAGCTTGCAGAATCTACATAAAAAGTATCTTGAAACCAATCCTCAATACAAAATAAGCTACAGTGCATTTTGCAAGCTTCGTCCATTTTGGGTACGTGTACCAAACGTCAATATTCGTGAAACATGTTTATGTAAAGATCATGAAAATATGGAGTTGGTCGTTGTAGCCCTTCGGAAAAATTATCTGATTGTGGAAAAATCTGTAAATGAGATTCTACAATCACTATGTTGTGATCCTAGGAATGTTCACTGTCTGGCTAAGAAATGTGATAGTTGCAAAAATAAGGCCATTAATTATAAAGAATTTGACAATACCAAAGAAATACATTACTTTATTTGGAACAAAGTAAAAAAAACTTATATCAAAGATGGAAAAGAAAAAGCTACGCTTCAAACGATTAAGGCAAAAGTTGCAGCGCATCCCAAAGATATAATCGAACATTTCGAAAACCTGTTAGTACCTTATATGCGACACTGCGGAAATATTATAACTCAATATAATTATACAAAAAAATTGAAACAAAACCTGAAGCCTGAAGAATGCATCATACATTGCGATTTTAGTGAAAACTATAACACAAAATATGCCTCTGAGATTCAGTCTTTCCACTTTGGCAGTTCCAGACAACAAGTAACATTGCACACCTCTGTTATTTATTACATTAAAGATGGAAAACTGTGTAAGCAGTCATACTGTACTATCAGTGAATGTTTGCGCCATGATGCCGTCGCAATCTGGGAACATTTACAGCCAATTCTCCGATTTCTTGAAAACGAGGTGCCGGACGTAACAACATTTCATTTTATTTCGGATTCACCATCGGCGCAATATCGTAATCGCAAAATGTTTTACATAATGGCGAAAATGCACTGGTATTTTTCTAGTTTGCGATTATTAGTGTGGAATTATTCTGAAAAAGGACACGGGAAAGGGGATCCTGATGGTGTCGGAGCAGTTCTAAAACGAACTGCTGACCAAATAGTTGCGAGAGGGAATGACATTCCAAACATTGAAATTCTTGTCAGACACCTAAAAGAACGCTGTCCAGGAGTTATTATAGAAGTCGTTTATGAGTCGGGCATATTAGAGAAAGATATGCTGATTCCCGAAAATTTAAAGGAATTCCGCGGGACCATGAGAACACATCAGGTTGTGTGGAGTGCCAATCAACTTCAGACTTTAGCTATGAGAGAACTTAGTTGTAGCTTGGACAATTGTTCACAAGAAGCCATTCAATGTTCTCACGGTCAACACATTGGTTTTTATACCATAGAAGACATTAATAAACAACAGAGTCACCACTCTGTTGTGTTAAACGTCAAATCCGCGGATAAAAGAAATGTGACATCGAAGAAATCTACATGCAGCTCTTTGATCAAACGTAGCCAAATATCTGCTACCGAAATTCAGACTAGAAAAGATACGGATACAACCCAACAAGACCTCGACCTTCCCGATGACGACAGCTTTTGGATGGAGACTTCGTCAATCGATGAAAGACTTATAACTCCAAAATTCACCAGAGATGTCCTATCGAACCTCCATCAGAAAAGCGTAGATGATCGCTCAGATTCTGACGATGAGAATATTTTTGTGTTTAAAAAGCCTCAATATGATAAGCGGACAAAAGAGTCTCACGGCATTGTTGAAGATATGATTATTCCATCTTCCTCCAATTCAAGATCTCGTCAACAAGAAAAAGGCTTTATGGATGATATTGAAAGCAGCTCCGTCCCTAGCCCAAAGCCAAGAAAATATTTCTTTTAGTACCTATTTAACTTTGACCTTATTACTTATTAGTTAATTATACCTAGAATCTTTATTTCTTTGAAAGTTGATAAGGAAGATTATTGTCAAAAATGCCATTTAAAGTTGATCTCATTTTTGTTACTTTATTGTTAGGTAGTAATAAATAAACCAATGTGATTGGTAATTTCAATTAATAATTAAGACTGCTATTCTCACTTTACCATATAATACAAGAATTATTATAAATACTGGAGTTTAAAAATATTTTTACAAGAATTATTGTTTAATTCACCAGATTTTTTTCCGTGATATGATCGCTGATAATTGTTTTCATAAAAAAGGTTATTGTTGTTATTCAAATATGATTATTTTCTTAATACAAAGTTTTTTTATTTTTATTTCTGTTTCTGATTCATCTGTAACAAATTCTGATTCATCTGGGCACAAATATTTGAACGTCGATATCATGAAAACTACTTTATAAAAACGAGTCCCTCATTCAAATTATGTTATTTGGTATACCTTTTTTCATATGAACATGTGTTACAAAGCTGAAAGTGAAATTAAATTTTGGCCATATGAATCAGTCGAAGAATCAAATTTCGAATAACTACTCTTATATTTCGGGATATAATATATATCCCATAGTAAAAAGCCAGCCTAATAACGTTATGTTACCAAATATCATATGATATCGTTAAAGCTAAGTACATAACCGTTATCACATATCCAACCATAACCAACTAACCAACGTTCGAAACGTAAAATGCAAACTGGAACCATATGCCAAGACGGCCCGCGAACTAACCGATGTCCTTCGTTGATATTCGTTGTTTCTCTTGCGACGTTATCATAAATACGTATGGAAAGAGATGAAGCGAATATAAGAACGTTAACATTGAGGTAAGGAATTTTAAATGGTTGAAATTGCCAAATTTTTAAGTTTATGTAGTTGTGAGAGTTGTCAAATTTAAATGATGTTTAGAACATTAGACACAAGATTTAGAGTTCAATGACCACATTATATTTCATTTAGGCAACTTCTTGTTTATGTTTTGTATGGAGTTTATAATTTGATTTTTTTTCAAAACGTGTGCAGTTCACTATAAATTATCTGTAATATTGTTAATTTTCGACGTTGCGTTTATGAATTTATTTGTAATATTTTTGTGCACATGTTTTAAAACTTTTCTGCTAGTCCTAACCCTAGTTGTGTGAGCAAGTTTATCGATTCATTATAAACCGTGACTTTTTTCTTTGCATACTATCAAAATTAATAAAATAATCGAAAATATTCTATATTTTAAACAATATTATACAACATAAATTTTAACCAAATAAAGACGCGTGATAGCAGTAACGACGTCTTGCGAATTTACCTGTGAAATAATCAGGATTATTTATATTATTGACCCACAGTCACTCACGAAACATGTAATAATTTTGGTTTCGAATCAATTCAAAATCGGTTACAGAGTCATGAGACTTGGTATCCTTTTCTATCTTGCATTTTGCCATAAGAAATGTTCTTCTTCCTTGCACACTATTCAGTCTATACGCCAGTATATTCTAAGTCTATGGAGTAGTAATACCTAATGCATTGTTTCGTACTGAGCTAGATAAAAGAGTTCGGCGTCCGTGCGAATATTGTCCCTAGTCAGCTGATTTCATGATTCATTAATTTTAATTTAATTGCTGGTTTAATGTGTAAGTAGTTTCAAATTTAATGTTTAACGAAATAATCGTTTTATTTAGCTGTGAATAAAGCTAATAAAATGTTCCGAAAAGATGATTTTTTTTTCCTCGGGATCGATTCTCTTTCTGACCCATCATCAAAAGTATCGTTAGTACTGTCGTCTGTCTTCGTTTTCAAGGGCGTTTCATTAACACCCGGTATATACATATACGCGAAATACCATTGACTGACGAACTTATCACGAGATCTCTAAAAGTAATGCACCCGATTGACTTGAAATTTAGTATAGTTATTAATTTCGCAATGTGGACGCTCGTTAAGAACGGATTTTTGATAGTCCACTAAAAAAACTACTCCCAAAGATTTTAATTCAGATAAAATTGCATTAGCTAAATATCTTCCTTTTACTGCCGACTTCCAAAAAGGAGACGGTACTCAATTCGACTGTATTTTTTTTGTTTTTTTTTTTTATGTATGTTACCTCATAACTTTGTACTGGGTGAACCGGTTTCGATGATTTGTTTTTTTATATGAAAGCTGATAGTTCTCGTGTGGTCCCATATGAATTTGATTAAGGTCAGTCCAATAGGTTTTGAGTTATTCTTAAATAACTCATATTGAAGTCGGCTGTAAAAAAAATTTAATTTTAAATATTGTATTCTCAACTGTTACAAAAGTTAAAAAAATCTTCACGCAAGATAAACCCATTATCTTTTGGCTCGGCATATCTTAGACAAATGGACATCCGTTCTTGTCGTGAAACATCAGTAGTTTCGTCAACAAGAATTGAAAAAAATTCGCAGAATTTAATTCTTGCTCAATTTTCTGTATTATTTCACTACAAATTGCAATAAGTTCATTTTGTATGGTCGGGCTTAGGTAGGTAGAGTTCAACGTATTATTTTCTGTGTGCTTTATTAGATTTGAGTCTCCACATCTGCTTCACATCAATGGAAAACTTTAAAAGTGTAAGCGTATCCGTCAAAATACTCTCAGAGATAAGACCGATTACTCATCATGACGCTGTTAAACCACTGCAGAATAATTAAAAAAAACAAACGGCTGCGTAAGTACGGCGGTGATAGGTCGCATGTTTTATCGCATGACGCAGTGGCTCGCTCCTTAAGTAGAGAGCGGTTGCGTCATCGGTCTGTATAAAAGGCACTTATTTTGGCTCGCCGCTCACTTAGCGGTTAGCCACCGTAGAGTCTATATCACCTGAGGATGCCTCGTGTAGAGGCGAAACACGTTTCGTATTATCATCAGTGGTGTGTATTGCCTAGTGTAGTAGTGTTGGGAGTAGCGGTGCTGGGATTAGTGGTGACGGGGATAGTGCACGCAATTGAGGGAAGGTGGGAGGTGCTCTTCATACTAGGTAAGACACATCATTTTATTTTTTATTTTATAACGCGGATATTTGCGAAGTAAATTTTTCTAAAAGCTTTTATATAATGGATTTCCGCAAAGTAACGCCTAATTCTATTAATTATATTAAAAAGGCTAGCACGGCCGACCAGGCAAGACTCTATGTCAAATTAACAAAACTCCATCGTATTGCTGCCCAAAATGTTTGGTTCAATCAGCAGTGCAAACAACTTCATGTTATTCCCAATTATATTCAAATACGTTCCTGCACAAAGTCAAGCGGCCAGTATTGCTATTTCTAAAGCTCAGAACATTTGGCTTAATGAGGAGTGTCGTCGTTGGTTTTCCAATAGAGATAATTTAAAAATCCACCTTAAAGTATTATACTCTGAACTTTCATATAAATTACATAATATTGAATTTGATATTTTGGATGGGAAAGCTTGCTTCAATGGCTGTTTATGAGTAATATCAAATTCAGTCCCGTAAATTACAACAACTTATATCCTCTTCATCCCGTAATCGTAATAACGACATACATACAGAATATCACCAATTTTATCCCCGAGTTAAAAATATTTCCGATGTCCAGTTTCCAACAGATGAGTTATCCCTTTTACATAAAGGCCTAAAGTATAATTTAACACCTTCGGTCTCCCAAAAATCGTTAGAGACTATGGCTGTTGACGCGGAGATGGCTGTTGTGATCGGGAAGAAAGATAACATCGTTAAAAGTTTAGTAGCTAATGAAATTCGGGCTGTGCCCGCGTCTTCCCATTTTAATTCTGAGTTCCCTGTTTTTAAGTCCCTAAAGCAAAGAATAAGGGAAAACGACCTTATTGTTACTAAAGCCGATAAAGGCAATACTGTTGTTATTATGGAGAGTACTGAGTACAGCCAGAAAGTTAACGATGTTATCCAAGGTGATGACTTTGAGCTATTGGAGTCTGACCCAACCAAAAAGTTTACTTCGGATATTAAGTTATGTATACAACAGTCGTCATATGTTTTTTCCGATCACAACTGGTCTCGGAGCAATCTTGTTCCAATGAATCCTCAAGCACCCACTTTATATGGGTTACCAAAAATACATAAAGAACATGTTCCTATTCGTCCAGTTGTCTCATATATTGGTGCACCAACTTATTTCCTTGCTAAAAAATTAAACTTCCTCCTTCGAGAGAAATCTGGATTCAACCCCACTTACAGCCTAAAAAATGGCTTAGATCTCATTTCCAAAATTAAAGATATTCGTATTCCTCCTAAATCCATATTGTTATCTTTAGATGTTCATAGTCTTTTCACAAATGTCCCATCCCCTGACTGTTTGCGTATACTCGCAGATCTCTTTGAAAAACGTCGTCTACATCCCGGGGAAACAAATGATCTTCTTAACTTAACCTCTCTCTGTATGAAACAAAACTATTTCCGGCTTAATAACCGTTTCTATCTACAAAAAGAAGGGTTAGCTATGGGGTCCCCTCTAAGTCCCTTATGGCGGACATTTTCATGGATAATTTCGAAAAACAACATATAGTTGTCAATCAAAATATCTTATATTACTATCGATATGTAGACGACATAATTATTTGCTGAACTGGCACAAGGAGACAACTGGATGTTTCCTCAATAAAATAAATAGAGTCCATGACAAAATTAAATTTAAACTTGAATTGGAACAAGATTATTCCCTTAATTTTCTCGACTTAACAATAACAAGAAAAGAATCATCACATGTTTTCCAAATTTATCGAAAGCCAACTCACACCGACACGGTCATCCTCGCATCATCGTGTCATCCGTGGCAACATAAAGTAGCCGCTTTTTATTATTACATTAACCGTTTGTTCACTGTCCCATTAAGTAAAGAAAATTATTTAAAAGAACTTAATATAATTTATCAAATAGCGGTCTCTAACGATTTTTCAAAAAATCTCATTAACAATTTAATTAAAAAAAAAACAAAAGCATGTTATTCGCAACTATCTGTACGCGGTTCAACCTCAAGTGTTCATCGATATGTGATCAGTTTGGCCTACTTAGGCCCCATATCTGAAAAAGTAGCTAATACTCTTCGAAAAAACGGCGTTTATGTGGCGTTTAAAACAAACAAATCTCTTAGAAATATCTGTAATAATAAAGATAAGTTGGATATTCGTCAAAAGTCAGGTGTTTAAAAACTTGTTTGTGACGAATGCCACGCCGTTTACGTGGGTCAGACTGGTCGCAATTTCGAGACACATTATAAATAGCCTTACATACGTGTAATAAAGGGCTGCGGCTGTGTGTGCTGGAACAGTTAGAGATATTAAAAAGTAA